TAGACATACGTTTGGAATTTTTTTACTAAAGGGCACATAACGATAACAATTACTATGCAAAAGCAACGTGAAAGACTTTTTTATATATATATATTTTTTAACTATCTAGGATTCTTAAACATTTTAGAAAATATTCTAAGCAATGTAGTATTTTATTGATTTTTCGGTACTTCGTCTTTAAAGTCTAACTTACGAAGACGCTTGTTAAAGAAGTGCTAGAAAGTTAGCAATAAATTTAACTTAACTATAGTTAACACTCTTATTTTCTGATAATGTCTCATTTGGACATCCTTATTCACAAAAAAAAAAAAAAAAAAAAACGACACGTGCATTCACATATAAAATAAATTCAAAATTATTTTTGAAATATTGGGCTGTCGTTGAATTGTAGTAAGATTTTCCTTTTATATTAGTAGATTAGTAGATATAGTTTTTGCTTAATAAAATATTAGGAGATATAGTTTTTGCTTAATAAAATATCACCTAACCGCTACAAATTAATACAGAACTGTAAAAGATTTAAAAGCTTATAAATTATTCTAATTAAAACATTAAAAATATTTTTAAAATTCTTTTAAAAATTCAGTATTCATCGAAACAAAATATTTTTTTCAAGACAATATTTTCCATAACATTTATTTTATAGATAAAATCAATTAAAAGATTTTCGAATTAAATAATGTCTTCGTTTCGTGGAGTTAACTCGCTTACTTTCCTAAAAGAAATCGCCGCTAGGGGACGCTCCATAATCCTATAAATAGGTAGTAGCATTCTTTGTCCTCCTCTTTTTCCTTTTTCACTCAGGGACGGTAAGATGTAAATTGAATGAGGAAAACGCTTTCTCACTGGGGAACGCACAGGGGCACGAACGTACGCAACTTTCACTTCATTCCCTCTAGGACTTCTTCTACATACATTTTACACACATAAACAAGTCACTAGTTTAAAGGTTTTCATTGTCCATGTTAATTGTTTTCTAACACGCAAAAATATTCTATTGTCTATGTATACCTTTGTTTTGCTAATACATACTTATCATTAATTTATATAAATAGTTTTGTAGTTGCCTTATTCTTTTTTTACCCGGACTCACATACTGAGTCCACCATTATTGTTGAGGGGAATATAAACCAGAAGACACGTGTTTTCCTCCCAAAAACTCGTACAGCTCGCCAATAATATATTTATACAATTTTGATTACACGATTCAGAGCAGATTTTCTCTAACTGGGATGCGGGGGGGGGACCAAGATTTAAATTTTCGAAGGATTTGCCCTTCTAAATAATATAAGCATTAAACACTACAAACAATTTCTTGAAATTTCATAAAATTAAATAACTGGGCGTTAACAGATGTAAAAAAAACAAAAAGGATTTCACAAAGATTTTCTGAAAGGAATTTTTTTTTAAATTTAATTCATTTTTTTAATAAATCCTGAAATTTTAATTAAAATCTGACAATTATCTAATTTTTGCGAGAATTTCCTAATCATTTTTTGCACCGCAAAAAGACACTAAATTTTTGCATATTAATTTATGGTCACCTACTGATGCAAGGAAAACAAATCTTTTAAGCAAAATTTAAAAGGTTCCAAATAGGATCAAATATATAATTTAATAAGATATAATTTGATTTTTTTTCTCTTAATAATAACGTAAAAAAATTGACGATAAAACTTTGTTTTTAAGTTTGGGGTATTTTTCATCAGATCTGATCATTTTTGGAGGTACCTAGTTATACACTTTCTAGAATTACCATTTGCTTGATTATGACGTCTGCAATTCGTATCTTACTGATAGCGAAATATTCTGTCTTCATTAATTGTTAGCCCTCTCTTACCTTTACAACCTTGTGTTCTTGCAGTTTTCGCTGTGTGTTTGCACATCAAAACGATATTATCAGACTTAATAATAAATCCTAACAGGACTTCTGTAAGGATCACAATGCAATAAAGGTCAAATACATCCGGTTTAGACAACCAATTTATGACCCTCAAAAATAAAAAGAAAATTGAAAATGAACTTTTTACCTTGCGAGATTAAACCCTTAACATTTGTTGTATTCGAGAAGAAAAAAGAAAGAAAGAGGGAGGTGAGATAAAAAGAACATAACAAATAATGGGGTTTTAGAAACAAAGAATTCGATGCGAAGGTTCTGCTTCCCAGAAAGAGATTAACGAAATGAAAGAAAGAAATTTGAAAAATAATTTCAATGTATGACCGCTCTTTGTGAAGCCTTTCAAAGAGTCGATAAAGAATTGAAATTGTTGTTAAAAACGTTGAAGTGTTCTCGTGATGGACAGAGAATGAAAGCTTCAAAAAAATATTAAAAAGAAGTTTGAGCAGAGAAGAAAAAAGTGACAATAAATATAAAAAAGAATAGCAACCAGGTCAGCACCCACCTCATTCATTTATGTGACCGTTATAAAATTTTGATTACCCACTTAACCTACAGAAAGTAGAGAGGAAAGTCTTAATGAGTAGAAAAGGCGCTGATAGAGGAAGCGATGTAAAGGTCCTGAAGTTTGAACCTTTGGTGTTGGATGGGGAAGGAAATGAAAAGGACCCTTTTTAAGAAAATGAGAATTTTCGAATGAAAACCAATGAAAAAAAATGTCTCTTGCTGAATGAGTAAAGGCAAAAAAATAAAGATAAATGCGATGTAGTAAAGAAAAAATAGAAATGAACACCAGAGAAAAAGAGAAAGAAAGAAAGAACGAAAAGCAAGCGAAGGTATGAAAAAACGAAAAGAAAAAGAATGACCATTGAAAAATTTGAAGAAACAAAATTGAGAATAAAAAATGAAAAAGGAGAACGAAAGAAAGAAAATAGAGGGAAAAGAAATAAAGAAAGAACGAAAAAAAATACAGAGAAAGACAACAATAGAAGAAAAACGAATATAATGAAAGAGGAAAGAACGACAAAGAAAGAAGAGAAAAGAGGAGGGACTATGAAATAGTATCAAATAAAAGAAATGAAAGAGAACAAAGAAAAAATAATATAAGAAAAGACGAAAAAACGAAAATGAGAGAACATAAAAGACGGAAAGAAGGCGGTATAAAGAAATAGAAAAATAGAAGAAATTAAAAGAAAAGAGAAAGTGGACATAAGAAAAAAAAAGGAATGTAATGAAAGAAAGAAAAATGTCGAGAAAAGGGAGAGAAAAAAAGGAAGCAAGTACTAGAAAAACAGAAAGATTAGAGGCGAATGACAAAAGGAAGAAAAGAGCATACAATGGAAGGCGAAATGAAAAAAAAAAGGAAAAGAGAGCGAGGAAGAAAAGAAGCAAGAAATAGAAAGGCAGAAAAAAAAATAAAAGAAACTGTAAAATATAAATAGAACGAGAAGAAGATTCCTTAAAAAAATAACGGAAAAAGAAGAATCAATGGACAATGAAAAAAAAAGTCGAGAAAGGCAGCATGAAAAAAAGCTGGAAGAAAAGAATACAAAAAGTAAAATAAAAAACGAGAAGAAAGAATTAAAAAAGAAAAGAAAAAGAAAGAAATGAATGAAGAGATAATAGCCAAAAAATAAAATAAGAGTAACTGCCAAACGACGAAAATAAATTTGCGAAAGACGTAAAATGGTGTGTTCAATTGAAGAAGAATATCTTTTGTAAGAACTCTTCAATCTGAAAAAGAAGGTAAAAATATAATAATAATAATGATAATAATAAAATGAATGCAACTTGAACACTTGTAATCATTGAACGATAAAGAGGCCGCTATTAATTTGACAGCACTATAAAGCCAAACGACACACTCTTCATCAAAAGAAAATTAAGAACAGTGATCAAATTATGGAAGACAGTCACGAACTACTGCTCTTCAAAACGTCATCCCCCTTTTTACCCTAACCAACAACCTCGTCAATCAGGACAGTTCTGTCGACAAAATAAAATAAGAAACATATATATATATATATATATATATATATATATATATATATATATATATATATATATAGTACATTCTGTTTTGTGTTAGAGGCCTGTCGTACACTAACGGTTAATAAGCTAATCTCTCTGTTCATTGGTACTTTGGTGAATTTGTTTCTGACTGCTATGCCTGCGATACAGGCTTCGTGCTAGTCTCATCTAGTTAAAGCCATAAAATTGTGTTAAAATTATTTACATTTTGGCATTAAATAATCTAAAGAGGTTAATAATCGGCTAAATAAAATAAAACCAACATGAAAGAACTCTTTCATGTCATTAATCCATAAAATATCCTAAAATTTCTTAAAGAAATCTGACTGTATTCCAAAATATAACTTTAAAACGCACACATTATCGCCTCTAGTAATTATGCCCACATAAACGTATTCAACTGTCAAATCAGAATAAAATATATCAAATTTTTATTCATTCCAAGTTCTCAAGAAAATTAAATTTCGGCAGTAAATGACCCATAAGGAGTTGAATGATATGCTGTTTAGGAAACAAATCTATCTGTCAACGTTGGTCCGGTTTAAACTAAAGTAAGAAAAAAATGTAGGCATAGGTCCTCTTTGCCCCAGAGTCAAAATGATAGACAAAATTCCGATTTAAACTAGAGTCGAAAATGTATACACAGCTCCGGTTTACACTTGAGTAAAAAAGACTGACATAGTTCCAGCTTAATGTATATTTAAAGAAAAAGTTTTGCATAGCTCTGCTTTACACTAGAGTGAAAAGGGTAGATACAAGATCGTTTTAAACTAGACTAATGTAAACATAGGTCCGAATTAGACTTAAATAAAAAAAAAAGTAGACATAAATCCGTTTGAGATGGTTATTTACGCGAGTTTACAAGAATCTACTCGGAGTGCAGCTGATATATACAACAGGGTAAGTAAATATTTGGGTGATCGTTGCAGAGCAGTATTTTTCTACCTAAAACAATATTATTGCTTGTGTAGTGAGTTTAATATTTACTAAGTAATCCACGCTTATTTGTCTAGAGTTTAGTAATCGATATTCAGGAAAATAACTGAACAAATATCTCTTTGTTACGCCTGCGATGATTAACAAAATATTCGCTTGTCTCGTGAGATCGGCTATTACCGTATGACTCCATATTGCGTTATTATGTTTACGATCTGCTTAGTAAAGAATGGACATCGAGGATGCTAAACTCTACACTTTCGTGGCCTCACGTTTGCCACTGACATGAAATGGACCGACTATATTGAATCAATATCTTTATCTGCTGCAAAGAAAGTTGTTTCACTACGTCGTGGCAGACATTTTTCTTGCCAGAATCCATCTTGCATATTTACAGATCTACCATTCGTCTGTGCATTGAATAATGTCACCATATCTGGTCTATTGCTCCTACTGTGTTTCTCCTACTGAGATTCTTGATAACAACTAAAGAAAGGTCTGTAATGGACTCGATTCTGACCAGGAATCTCGACCTTTCACCGACAGGAAGACAGGGAAATCACTTTAAACGCAACGTCAATCACCATCTTCTGTCTTCTTGAAACCTCTTATGTTTTTTGTCCTTTCCTCAATCGTCCCCCATCTTAGTTTTCTCATTCTCTTTCACTTTCAATCCCTGTACCCCCAGTCTTATCGCCTTGCATGGGCTGGAGCGATTAAAATAAATATCTTGTTTGCAGACTTAAGTCGTAATAGATGCAAACGAATATTGGGAAAGACTTTATGGTTTACCACCCACTAAACCAGGATTATATTAAAGCGCCCATCAATTAAAGATGATATTTATCATCTGTCAGCCCCGAACTGATATGACGATTAATCTTATCTGATTTGTTTTAATTCCTACATTGTAGCTGAGATCTTTTCCAAGTATCCACTGATTTTAAATTCAGAGATGAGTCCTTATAAATCGACCAAGAATTAGCCAGACGAATTCGTTGCTTTAATTTCTATTTTACTACCGATTTATTCTTCAGCCTTCCTCGTTGAAAAGTTTATTAGGCTGCTCGAGATATTCTCATGGAATGTGACCAGATGAGGTTTATTTTTCAACATAGTCCCCCTTCTGGTTCACACACTTCTTCCATCGATGTTGGAGTGCTTGGGTCATCAACAGCAGATATGATATCCACATCACTACGACACTGTTTCCCAGCCAAGTGTTTGTTCCTGTTGGGGAACAGATAATAGTCAGTGTTGTAGCATACCTACGGACGATAATGGGTATACCCCCATTACCATAAATACAGTAGTGGATAATGTACGTGGTCTAGAGTTGGAGATTCATCTCCAGTTGTGCTGGTCTCGTCTCGGGAAACAGCTACCCGACCCCGTTTTATACGGGGTCTACTGGGAATTTTTAGTCGAGTCTATTGGCTCGGATACCCAACATTAAATTCGGCCTTGTGCCACATCTGACCGCGTGGAGCGGTTGGTAGATATCCTAGAGTTGGAGATTCGTTGTGAAATTCACTTGACTCACTTCTAGTAGTTGACTACTTCTACGCGCCGCTGGCGAATCTTATATGTGCTGTTCTTATTCTAAGTATTATCGATCATTACCAACCTTCCCTTCATTATAATATTTAGTAACCTTCCCTAGGTTACAGCAGTCAGATGGGATGAAATCAGGCGAATAGGGAAGGTGATTAGTCAATTCGAAACCATAATCATACTCAGCCGTCATTGAAACGAAAGATTCGTGTGCTGGAGCATTGTTCTGGTGAAACAAGAGCCCTTCCGTTAGTTTTCCTGGGCATTTGGCCTTGATAGCATTTCATAACTTCCTCAGCAATTTGGCATAGTTCTCTCAATTGGTCGTGTGGTCCTTTTGAAGAGGCAATGCCCTTTGCATTCCAAAAACTGAGGCTATCACTTTCCCTGCCGATGAAATGACCTCGTAAAATTTAGAGATAAATCATTATTATTTCACTAAGAATTTTCTCTGGCCATTAATTTCATTCTTGTTCGTCTTCTTCTTACATTACGGCCGATGTGTTCTCCAGCCTTTTTGTGATATAAAAATCAAGGATGAATATTTATCATTCCTTTCAGAACAATTCTGGCCATTAATCTCATTTTACCCTAATTATATTTGGATTATTGTCATCATCACTTTTGTTGTTATAAAAACTTTTCAGTTGTGCTCTCCGGCTTTCCTCAGGTGCATCTGGGTAACTTTTGTGCTGGAAATACTAGAAAGTACTAGAAAGAGGAAAAAAGTCAGTTTTTTCCTGACTCCAAAAAGATGAGGTATTGAGCAAAATTTCATGGAAAAATTAACTCAGGGAGAGGTTTTGTAATGGAATGTCCCACACTTCCTACCGCCTATGTGGACTGTCTATATCAGCAGATATATATAGTGAACATAGGATATACCTGGCGACTTGCTTCAGCAATTAGTTGGAAATTCGTCTCCAGCTAAGCTAGTCGAACTCTCTGCCTTTGGGCGGAGAGGAACGCAGACGACGCTATACCGAAGGTTTTTACCCTAGATTCTTATTCACCAATGTTAGCCACAAGTGTGATTTTAGGATATTTATAAAATTAAAAAAAAAACACCCTGAAAGGACAAGGATTTTGCTAACACCACTGCCATACAGCAACACGTATTTACATGAATGAAATTAATTCAGGAAACAAATTCCAAGAATGTTTCCAGAAACGTCGCGCTAATCTCAAGAAGTGCATAGCTTCACATGAGGAAGGTGACATCAGCCAAAATCGATCAAGTAAGCTAACTTTACCAGTACAAGGACATTCTTTCAATTAAATTACCACACTTAGAACAATAAAGCTTTTAATGAGATACTCCTAATCGGAAAAATCATTTGATATCCAATAGAAATTTCTAAGGAAATTGTCGAGATTCTAGTTCTTCTATGTGTCATGTCCTTTCATGACATAGGCGATCATGGCTCTCCACAACTTTCTATCTGGTATGCCTCTTAGCAGCTCGCTAACTCCCTCACCCCTGTTCAGTCATCCATTCATACAAACTCTTCACGTAATTAGATCGCTTCCTGTCTTTATCTCCATTGCCCTCAGTATACCAAGTTTTCCAAGCTTCCCTTCCTCATTATGTGGCTTAGGTCCACATTTGGTTGAAACACAGGTTCTCGTACGGTCTGCGAAGTTAAGCAGTGGCCGCTTGGGAATACCAGGTGCTGTACGCCTGTATGTGCGGGTGGTGTAATGGTTAATGGCTCGGGATTGTTAATCGGAGAGCCGAGTTCCAAATCCCTTTGGGTTTGTTTAATTCACTTATGCGCAAATAGCCTTGGGAAAGTTATGAATACACCTTTTCTCTCCCAGCTATGGGTTAAATATTAAGTGTTGTATCACTAAACCATTATTCTCCCCCACCAAAATTCTTACAATCTAAAAATATTTTGGCTTTAAATAACCTGCAAAAGGTTGATAAATCGTAAAAAACGAATCAATTGATCATTAACTAGTAGGACAGACTTGCTTAATACAAAGACAAAAAGAACAGGGGAAGATAATGGACCACCTACTTGATCAGCTTGTGTGAATGTTAACCGGTACGGAGGGTGGGAAATTTAGCAAAGGGGTAAACGTTGCTATGAGTTACAAATGTTAGAAAGTTGTGGAGAGACATGGTTACACACGTCCTAAAGGAACACTGAACATAAAAGAAGATAATTTTATACGGGAAATATAAAACATCATGACCTGGAATTAAAAAAAAATGTCGGAGCTTCTTCCTAAGCGTTTCTGGACATGTTCTTGTTATATACCGTACCTACTAACACTAAAGGGTATGTCCCAATCCTCATAAATACGTTGGACACTAATGTAAGTGGGGTCAAATGCTGTTTAAGTAGTTCAACACTAACAGTGGTTTATCTACTTCACGCCATTGGCGAGTTTTGTATTTTGTTGATGTTATAAAGATTACCATTTTATTTCCAACCCCCGTTTTGATTATTCCTCATTCAGTAACCCTTTCTATGTTAGAACATTATCTACCTATCTATTCTCATTCTGTTCATCTATCTATCTATCTATCTATCTATCTATCTATCTATCCTCATTCTGTTCATCTATCTATTCTCATTCTGTTCATCTATCTATCTATCTATCTATCTATCTATCTATCTATCTATCTATCTATCTATCTATCTATCTGTTCATCTATTCTCATTCTGTTCATCTATCTATCATCATCTATCTCAAATCTATCTGTTCATCTATCTTTTCTATTCTATCTATCTCTTCATTCTATCTATCTATCTATCTATCTATCCTCATTCTGATCATCTCTCTATTCTCATTCTATTCATCTATCTGTCCTCATTCTGTTCACCTATCTATCAAATCTCATTCTGTTCATCTATTTATCTTTTCTCATTCTGTTCATCTATTTATCTATTCTCATTCTGTTCATCTATCTATTCTCATTCTGTTCATCTATCTATCCTCATTCTGTTCACCTATCTATCTTATCTCATTCTGTTCATCTATTTATCTCTTCTCATTCTGTTCATCTATCTATCTATCTCATCTGTTATCTATCTATTCTATTCTGTTCATCTATCTATCCTCATTCTGATCATCTCTCTATTCTCATTCTATTCATCTATCTGTCCTCATTCTGTTCACCTATCTATCAAATCTCATTCTGTTCACCTATCTATCTTATCTCATTCTGTTCATCTATTTATCTATTCTCATTCTGTTCATCTATCTATCCTCATTCTGTTCACCTATCTATCTATCCTCATTCTGTTCACCTATCTATCTTATCTCATTCTGTTCATCTATTTATCTATCATTTCTCATTCTCTCCATCTATCTATGTATCTATTTGTTATATACCTTACCTATGAACACTAATGAGTATGCCGCAATCCTCATAAATACATTGGACACTATTGTAAGTGGGGGTAATAATTATGTCTAAGTAGTCCACCACTAGCAGTGGTTTACGTACTTCACACCGCTGGCGAGTAATGTATTTTGTTGATGTCATGAAGATTACCATTTCATTTCCAACCTCCGTTCTTATTATTCCTCATTCAGTAACAATTTCTAGGTTGCAATAAGAAGGTAGTAAAGGAAAGCACCAAAATAAACTAATCATCATTTGTAAGAAAACCAATTTTATGGTCGTCAGCAAAATGGACAACCCAAGATTCCAGCTTCGAAATGAGGACGTCAGTCTCAAGCAGGTAGGGAAATTTAACTATCTACGAAGGGTTATTAGAGACGACAGAGAACACGGCAGAGGTATCCAAAGGAGATTTAAGACAAAAGAGTTATACCTTAACAAAGAAATAGGAAACTATCGGTGGTAACAAAGAAAAGAGTACTGAAGTCCTATATGACAGAATGTCGGATAATTTCCTCACAGATGAAGTGAACACAGTGCAGTGAACGGAATATGTGGCAACGAGGAAGTTTTAAGGGAAATTGGAACAAAATTGAGACATATACCTAGAAGGAGATTGCTGAAAATTCTGGGACGGATAATAAGGAAAGAGTGATTGAAGAATTTAGCACTCAGAGAAAATCTATCTATCTATCTATCTATCTATCTATCTATCTATCTGTTATGGGACCTTACCCATAATAACATAATGGACTATTCCATACGTAATAAATACTGCGCCTCAAGAGGAAGCAGAGAGTTCCGTCTGAAGTCTGGAGTTCAGTCTGAATTCTGAAGTTCAGTCTGAAGTCTGAAGTGAGGTCCGTCAGGAGTCTGTCAGTCAGTCAGCGCGAGCGAGTCAGTCAGTCGATCAGAGGCAGTCAGAAACAGAGTTCCAAAAAATGTATTGCTGGTAATATTTTTTTAAATGCATTTCTGGTAACGTATTTTTTTCCCAAAATCTACTGCAGGTAATAAAAAAAAAAGTATTGCTGGTATGAAAACCTATTTTTACACTTTCATAGTTTTTGGCTCATTTGGTGGGAGGTTAACTATTTGCCCATAGTTGGGACCCTGACAGGTGCTACCACCCCGGGTCAGGGTGGGAACTTCAGCAATTAAGAGGTGGTTCCATGCTAGGCAAAACTTCCTAATCAAAGGCCCTGCTGTTGTATATAGTCTATCGTCTTACCAATGACGCGGATGAAGTTTATTGTCTTACCCAGGACGTCTTTTTGTCTCTCTTGTATATTTATGAACATATTAAGACATAACCTTTTTTGTTTTGGTTTTCAATTATTTCTCTTCGATCTTACCGTCTTTTCTTCTTTTTTTTTTTGCGGGGGGCTCTTTGTTTTCTATAACATTTTTCCACCTTTCTATTTATTTTCATTTTTTTTATTTGTTCCTTTCTTATTCAAGCTCATTTTATTAGTTTCCTATTCTTATTCATCTTATTCATTTTATTTCCTTTTTACTTTCTTTCTTTCATTCTTTCTTTCTTTCTTTTTCAATTTACTCCATTTTTATTATTCGTTTCCGTCTTTCTTCCTCACTCATTTTCACTTTACGTTTTTAATATTCAGCTTCTTTCTTTCTTATCCACTTGCATCTTTTTTTAAATCGTCTTCATTTTTCTTTCTTTCGCATTCATTCTCATCTTTCTTTCTTTCTTTCTTATTCATTAAATCTTTCTTAAATATTTACATCTTTTGTCTTTCAAAGTTTTACAAATCCTTCTTTATTTCTTATTCACTTACTTTCTTATTTTTGTTTTATTAAATTCCTTTTAGCATACCAAATTAATTTATCTTATTCATTTTCCTTTTTTCATTCCCATTCATTCTCTTTTTTATTATTCTTTTCTATCTTACTTTTTTTTTTCTCATTCACATTCTTCTTTCTTTCTTAATAATCTTTTTTTTTTAATTTGCGGTTTTCTTTCTTTCTTATTCGATACTATCTTCTCATTTTTTCTTAACCATTTTGAAAAAAAATATCTGTTTTTTTTATTCTTATATACCTTCTCCTTCCCTTTCATTTTGCATTCTTTCCTTTCCTTTTCTTTCCTTTCCTTTCCTCGAGATTAATCTCCGTGTCTTCTTTTACTTTCCATCTTTATCCCGTGAACACCACTTCTCAAATCTTTCCCTCTTTGTATCAGACAATTTCTCTACTTTCACACACACCCGTCACCAGCTATATGAAAGGGTTTATCCCTTTCAACTCTGAAAGCCACCATCTCCTCCCTTCCATTATCACCTTTTTTATGTTTCTTCTCCCATCTTGCCCCACTTACATCGTCCACCATCTTCTGTGGCTTTTCTATGTCTTCACTGGCCATTGTCTCTCGAGTTTAGCCTTTGCTGAACATCTTTTTCATGTACGACCCCTTGTTGGCGATCTTTTGTCATAGAATAAATGACTTGTATGGCCTCTGACCGACTCGAGCTTGGCCTGATTTATTCGAAAAAAAAACGACCTATCGATTCTGATGGCTCTACAAATACAAAAAAAAAACTGCTTTTTTCCCCAATTCTTTTTTGTTTTATTGAAACGCAAAAGTTTTTGATTTTTTTCTTTATCTGAGGATGGAATAATGTCTAATTTTTCCCTTCATTATTAATGTATTTTTATGTTGTTGATTTTTTTTTTTTGCTCCAACCGATAATTTCCACCTTGAAAAGCCGAAGTTAGCGTCTCTCCTTAAACTGGACAGGTGTCAGTCGGTTTTATCCGACAAGAGCATTATCAATTGACCCCCGTCATGGTTAACGCGCTTCCGCTGCACCCCATTCAGTCTGAAGATATGTGGTGGGTTGAATGGGAAATAACAGAGAGGAGAAAAAATTTAATAATATATATATATATATATATATAATACTTTTTGTACAGAAATACAACCGCTGGACTTTCTCTCTTTCTCCCTCTCTTGGTATCATTCTCTTTCTCTCTCTCCCCCCTCTCTCTCTCTCTCTCTCTCTCTCTCTCTCTCTATATATATATATATATATATATATATATATATATATATATATGTATGTATGTATGTATTTGTGTGTGTAGGGAAAGCTTGTGAAAATAAAGAGAGAATGAAATGTAAGAATACTGAAGAAAGAAACTTCGAAATAAACATAAGCAGAAAGAAAGAAAGAAAGAAAGAAAGAAATCATATCGGAGAAGGAATCGTCAAGATAAAAACAAGAAAGAAAAAAAGAATATTGGAGAAGGAAACACGGAAAGAAAGAAAGAAAGAAAGAAAGAAAGTAAGAAAGAAAGAAAGAAAGAAAGAAAGAATACACAAAGACTATAGAAACAGCGGAAGAAAATTCGAAGCAGATAGAGTAAAAGAGAGAATCAGCATAGGCATAGGATGGGTCGAATTTTAAAAATATAAACAAAAGAAAGAAAGAAAGAAAGAAAGAAAGAAAGAAAGAAAGAAAGAATGAATGGAAATTGTCCGAGAAATATGAGGCAAAGAAATGATAAAAAGGAAGGTACCAAGAGTGTAGAATAGAATGTGTTCTACTCGAACAGCAATTTCCGGCTACCATAAAACGGTTGTTCCACTCATAATAAGAACAAAGATAACAAAAGTTTGCTGAGCTGTTGAGATGTCAAGACATGTCGAAAAAGAAAGGCAGGTACTTGTGGAAAGGGCGGTGATTATGAGGTTATTGTCGCAAAACGAACGATGATCCTCGAGTGAATGTAAAGCAAAATTAACAACAATAGATCGACAGGAAGAAATCGAATTGTAATTGTGAAGACTAGATTTTTCGTTCGTTAGCCAACGACAGTTTGAAACTATTAACGTGACAATGACATGATTTAGATGATATGATTCTTTTGGTGCGAAGCAATTAGTGACAGTGAATCTGACAAAAAATGGATAGATAGATAGATAGACAGACGGACAGAGAGGCAGGCAGAAAAGATTGATATATCTGTAAACGGGCGGCAATAGATAGATAGATAGATAAAAGTATATGAGTATATATATTTATCATAGATAGGTAGAAGCATATGTGTCTGTATATTGATAAAAATAGATAGATAGAAAGACAGATAGAAGCATACGTGTGTATATGTTTATCGAAGATAGATAGATAGATAGATAGAGAGATAGATAGATAGATAGGCAGGCAGAAATGGCAGATATTCTTGTAAAAGGGAAACGATAGATAAAAAAAATTGATTGAGAATGAACATGTAAAGATAGAGTGCCATGACTGCAAGATAAATAGTTAATCTCCAGCGTTAAATAAATAAAAAAGAAAGAAAGAAAGAAAGAAAGAAAGAAAGAACTCAGACACTGCGAAAACATCTAAGCCAGCCATTGAGACCGCGATAGGCTTTCGGCTAAAATGGAAGTAATAGAAGAGCGGAAGAGACATAAAGCTAGTTGCAAATAAACAAATTATAGATAGATAGATAGATAGATAGATAGATAGACTGACTAATATATAGACAGACCGAGAGACAGACTGATAGATAGATAGATAGATAGATAGATAGATAGATAGATAGATAGATAGGCAGGCAGGCAGAAAAGGCAGATATTGTTGCAAACGGGCAGGGATAGATAGATAGATAGATAATGGTAGTTGCAATGTTAAGATTAGTAATTTCCTTATAAAGAAAGCTTCAGTATTCATTCCGTCCTGGGTATGGCGTTAAATTACATCTGACATCAAGGCCTTTGTTCGGGAGGTTTTGAAGAAAGTGGTACCACCTCTTAATTGCTGTTGTATCCAGTTTTGCAAATTTTAGGGACCCATCTCTGGGCAAATAGCTACCCCCTAAATTGGGGATAAAACACTATGAAAGTCAATAATACTTTCGGTTGAAATTTATATAATCTTGATATTAAATAAGTGTGTCTCAACCCGCCCTGAAAATTAGCCAAGTTAACAGAAGAATTAAACATATATTTATTTTTAAAGAGCTAGAGACACTGAGCACATATCTTACATATATAAGTCAATTGTCGTTTAAACTGATGAAGTTGGCTTGTCGTTAACCGAAAAAGAGCTGGACGCTATATCTGCTAAAAAGGCATAAAGAGATGCCGATTGATCAATTTGGGATTTCCATTCAAGAAGAATACCCTTCAATTGCTAGCAAGCATTGAATATTTTATTGCTATTTTACACGTCATAGCTCTGTAAATTTTTCGACATTTATCTACAGTTAATGCAAAAACAGACCAAACATTAAATACAATGATGAGGAAATTAAAGTATGTTTATCACTTCTAAAGCTTAACATTCAAAACAATTGCACGTCTAGCAAAAGTTTCACGCATGCATACTTTAAACGCATATTCCAGGAGACTTCTTTATTTCGAATTTCATGACCAATTTCTCTTTATTAAAATTTAAAGTGCGCCCATTTTTTTTTTGTTATTCTACAAGTGTGCTCTGAATTTAAAAAAAAAGTTGAGAAACACTTTATTAAATAAATCTTTCAGGAAAATAGGTTTTACCACTAACTGTTATTGCTCTTTCCAATATTTATGACAGAGGACGGTGACCTACGGTAAGCATGCCACACGTGGCACGCCACCGCAAATAATGTCACGAAGCCCGAACTAATAACTACTACAAAACGAAAAGATATTTAGCTGTTTCAATTTTAATATATACTAAAGAATATATACTATATATTACTATATAAAATATAATGTAGAACAGCAAGGTTTGAATCCTCTTCTTCTCCTACCAGCTATGGGTAAATAGCAGCACAGACCGAGTTCTAGAGCCTTGGATGCAACTGGTCTACCGCAGAAAGAAATGACAACTTACTGCGGGAAAAAATCTGCCTCGTCAGTCATGTATCGAAAGATACAGGATCTCCTACGCGTGTATCACACATGGCACATAACTGAACTGGTGCTATTGGCATATGTTTTGAAAACCCTAACTGGGAATATAGTTAGCAAAAGGTTGCCGTCACTTGATCTATGGGGTCTTCTTCCAAGTCTTTTGTTTGAAGGAGTTTTGATCGGCAACATGTTCACTATGTCATTATTTTCTCCTCAAATAAACATATATACATTTTATCTGTTGCTTTTATTGAATTCCTCAAAGTAATGCGGTTTCTGTTATTTGGTACGATTTTTCATTGGGGTCCTCTAGCGCCAGTAGAAATAGAAAGAAACTGGCTGAGAGCTACAGACCTTCTTCGCTTGAAGGCATTTCTGATCATTGCTCTGAGAAAGCGGTTGTCTACAGCTAATAGTTTAGATATTTTCTTACAAGTTTGACGCCATGAGTGACATCCATACGAAATATCGATCTGATGAGGCTATTTATGAACATGGCACGAAATTTAAGTTAATTTTTTGTTTGTTTTTCGAGCAAATTGCGATTACGGGCGAAATCAAACCATGTAATATCCAGTTTTCTTATCTTTGACACTAAATTTGTCATAATACATCAGAACACCGAGGTATTTAAAATGTTTAGTATTAATTGATTCCTTTTTATAACTGATTCAAGTTTTATGATTGATCCTGGCCAGGTGCAATTGTTGCTTTCATTCCAGTTCCAGATCATATTTTAAGTTTTGGAAAGGTTTACCTTGAGACCTATTTGCTGGGAAAATTCTTAAAGGGTGTAGATTTTCTATTCTCGGTAATAATTCTTCCAACAATGAATACTTCTATCTTGGCCCTGCTCTGGCGTCTCGTCTGCAGTCACTCTCTCACAGACGCGCCGTCGCCTCCCTCTGTCTTTTCTACAAATATTCCATGGTAATTGCTCCGATGAGCTGCTTTCACTGGTTCCCAGACTCCATGAATTCAAGCGCCCTACGAGGCTGGCATCCCGCTCTCACCCTTACACTGTAGAAACTTTTAAATGTAGCCGTTTCTTCTACTCCAATAGCTTCATACCTCGCACCTCTCGCCAGTGGAACACCCTTCCCAATTACTGTTTCCCTGAGAGCTATAATCTCCAAATGTTCAAATGTAATGTCAATCGACATCTCCAGCTACCTTGATCTACCCACTATCCTTTTCCTCATCCTTTTTTCTATCACTCCTGCTCTCGCTCCAAATCTTCCGCAACCCTCTGCATCCTAGTGGCTTCACTCCTTGCTTGAGGCGTAATGCTTAAAAAAAATATATATATACATAGCTCCCAACCTCCTCATCAGTACTGAGGGAAAGCAAAAACGCTGTTTTCTATTAGATTTGTTGGGGGTCTGCTATGGAATGATGAAATGATCAGTGTTCATCTGTTTAGTTGTATTTGTATATAAGCAGGCTCATAATATAGAAAAATAATTAATAGATTGGATCTGTCATTTCTTCTTTGTCGTGTACTGGTAATATTTGAAATGTTTCTTTCTATGGCTCCTCGTCAGACAGGCCCGCATTTGTAGACCGATATAATCTCTCTATCACATCTTGACATTCAGTTGAGTCAGAACTTGGAAGGCGGTTTTCAAAGGATGTGATGAAGAAGTCTTTATGGATGTGATCATTTCGTGCTGTGAAGTCGACATAGCGGTTACACCATATTCTATTGGAGAGACATTCGATTGCTGGGAGTTATTCGATAATATACCGGGTGTATCAGCAAAATTGTCCAAATCGTGTAACAGCAAAATTGTCCAGTTGTTAGACTAAGCTCTGAACATTTGTATCTCAGAAATGATTAAAGATATCTTACTGGAACTCTCCAAGATTTTTGTAACTCTCTACTATGAGCAATAAGAATGTATAATTACTCTCCAAGCTTCACCGAAGAATCGTGATGAAATAGATCATAAACTAATGTGGCATGTTCATCATTAATTAATCATAGATAACGATCTGAAGCCCATGAAACATTTAAATAAAATATTATATATATATATATATATATATATATATATATATATATATATACTCGACTCTCCAGTCGAATTTGACGTATAAAGGGTCAAGCAGATTGGCTCCTAGGAAACCGACAGCCCGACAACAGCAGATGAGATTTGATTATAGCCATGAAGGCTTCGTGCAGGACCATCCACACTTTTTGAAGGGCCGAATACAGAGACCTGGTGCACTACGCGCCACAAGGTTCCCAATTCTGAATTCAGAGTTGTTCTTCTCCTAGACCAGCTGCCATTCAAGGCTATAAAAGCCAGTCTGTCCTGCTATTTACCCATAGCTGAAGGGAGAAGAGAGGATATATATATATATATATATATATATATATATATATATATATATATATATTCCAGGCTCATTTTCCAACTTATTCGATGTTCTTTGACCTCTCTAAGCTTCTTTCTGTCCTGGAGTAACAAGGTGCCTCACAGTCTTTTTTCACTACTTTTTGGACCGTCATGGCTGAAACTCATCTCTCACATGCCAATCGTCTTATGGATTGAGTTGGATCTTTTCTAATTGATCTCTTTAGCTCTAAGTTGAAATGATGATCCCTCTTCCTATGACCTCCTGATCCAGTTTCCTTCTCTACTGTTCCCTCTCTTTTAAACTTATACACCGTTCTCTTGATGATTCTTGAACAGACTTTGAAGACACAAGCCAGAGTATGAATGTTGGTACCATTACTAAATTCTTGAATTATTTTCCTCTCAGCATTGCTCAATTGAGAAGACAGTGGAGCTGGCACAAAACGATTTTAACCTGTTCTCGTTCTAGCTGAATAACTCAAAGAGTTTTTCAGTGAGTTTTACGACAAATGGTATCAAGATGGCTAAAATTCTTATCTGAAAACCTGGAAAAAGAAACTCAATTAGTTTAGTGTCTTTTTAGATATTAAACATTTTGTGGGATGGACAATTATGCTGTAACACGATTTGCACAATTTTGCTGTTATACTTGCTTCATATTATCATTAAAGACCTTACTACAACAAGAATCAAATAGGGTTGAGACGTGTTGGCTTTCATAAAAAGATGAAAGCCTGGTTAACACAGTTTTCATGGGTACTTTAACCATAATGAATCCAATTGAGATACCTCCCTATGTATGAGTGTTTTAAGGACTACCGTTTTGTTTCCATAGTGCGTTAATACACGATATACCATACTTTTATGGAGTCGCGTTCCTAATTCCAGACTTCCTTCGTAAAACTGTGAAGTGTTTTTAAATTGTGTAAGTGGGTATGCAAATGTTAAAAGTTCAACCTGAATATCAAGTGATGCTTTATTATAGATTATCTTTTTTATGGCTTTCTTGAATTCATCAACACTAAGCTCGTTATTGTTTACGTCTATGCACAGTTTAATGATCGGATGTATATTTGTGCATGATAGATAGATAGATAGATAGATAGATAGATAGATAGATAGATAGATATAATCGGGTCCTTCCGCGAATATCTCTTCAAATATTTAAAAATAGCATGTCAGTATTTACATCTTTTCGTGTTCCTAAGACGTTCAACACCAAAGTAAAAGATAGATAGACTGAGTTAAAATGCAAAACAAATTTAAATGGTCGACTACCGGTTCTCCCGTATACCAGTGAATGCTGGACAATCTCCACACGGATAAAAAAAGTGATTGAGGCATCAGAAATGTGGTTATTCAGAAGGATTATGAGAACACCATAGACAAAGGTACATCTTTTATCAAGCTGGTATTTTCAGTGTGTTGAAATTATAATAAATAAGCAGATTTGATATGACTAAAGTGTTCGGATAGTAAATATGTATTTCAACCTTGCGAATTAATGACTTAACCAACCAGAGCGGAACAAAAGTTGAATGGAAGGAAACAGCATATAGTATTAGTTCATAATTTCTTTGTATACGTCGTTCATAGAGCCTTGTAGAGTTTAATAGAAGAAAACCAGAAAAGTAACGATTTGGGTTCCTTATTAGTCTTGGTCTGAAAACAAACCACAATGTTCTACTGTCTTTTTTTTCCAGACAATTCACGCCAAGCAAAGCGGGAGTGCCACTAGAACGCAAGGGGTTACAGAGGATTGAGAACAAGAGTAAAGAAGCGTGATTGAGGAATCAGCAATGCCAACCGTTTATTGTTACAGGTGGTGAAAAATGGGTTTTGCAAGTTAATAGTATTTAAAAAAAACTAAAACCAAACATTGTTTATCACAAAATGAAAAAAAAAAACAGTGTTAACACGAAAACCAGGAAGCAATCCACAAAATTCCGTTGAATACGAAGGGTTACAGAGGATTGAGAACAAGAATAAAGAGGTGTGATTGAGGAATCAGGAATGCCAACCGTTTATTATATTGTTACAGGTGGTGAAAAATGGGTTTTGCATGTCAACAGAATATCTAAAAAATACAAAAACTAAAACCAAACATTGGTTATCACAAAATGAAAAAAAAAGTGTGTTAACACTAAAACCAGGACGCAATCCACATAATTCCGTTGAATACGAAAGTTTCGTATGGATGTTTGGTCTGAAAATCAGCCACAATGCATGATTGAGGAAATCATACAGAGAAGGATAGGAAACAAGTTCAGGGTGTCAGATGTCGAGTGACATTACACTTGAATATTTGAAGATCATAGTCATCGGGGAAGTAAGTAAGAGAAAGAGAGTTCCACGGACGAGAAGTTCGGGATAAGAAGATGTTTGAGTAGAAGACACGGTCATATTTAACCGTTTTGACATTGAAAGGGTGGGACCGCGATGCCAGCCTGGTAGCACGTTTAAATTTATATAGTTCGGGGAGCAGCGGAAGTAGATCTTCGGAACAGTTGCCGTGAAAATACTTGTTGAAGAGACAGAGGGAGCCAACGACACGTCTGTGGGATAGCGATTGTAGATAAGATGCCAGGTCAGGACCTATCATCTTGCATATTCGTCTCTGGAATTTGTCGAGGACCTCGAGACATACAGCGGGTGCACCAAACCATATATGACATCTTTTAACCAGGAATGCCAACCGTTTATTGCATTGTTACAGGTGGTGAAAATGGGTTTTGCAAGTCAACAGAATATTAAAAAAACAAAAACTAAAACCAAACATTGGTTATCACAAAATGAAAAAAAACCCAGTGTTAACACTAAAACCAGGACGCATGGAGTATAGGAAGATCATTGCCACAAAAGTTTATTACCAGCAAATTTTCGGGTAAACGAGGCACTATATCTAAATTGGTAAACAGATAAGGTGTTATTTACCAGCATGACAATGCAAAGGCACACTCAGAATGACAACCCCTAGAATAAAATAATATCATTAGGTTCTTTCACATCATTCATACACATCGGATTTAGCGGCAAAAATTTCGCCATTTGTTTCGGTCCCTAAAATATTTCATAAATGGCAGGACATTGCAAGACAGTTTTTCAAACTTTATTCGGCGATAAACTTAAGTTTCTTTAAACGTGGTGTCGAAGATTTACCTCCCCTGATGGTCGGCAGTTTGGAAAATGCAGACGATTGAATTTTCAAATAATTTTGCACTTGTTTTTATATCTTTTGAGGGGTAAAACGTAATTACGCTGAAGGAATTTAACAAATATTCGTCATCAAATAAATTAGCGAGATTGCCCTACATCAAATTGAGTAATTTAGTATATGAATTTAATTGCCAGTGTGCTGCTGGTTATGTGGGGCGTACAACCTTGCATTTGGAAACTAGAATCAATCAGCACGTACCTTCCAAAATACGACTTGGTAAGATAGATAGAATATGCTATCTTCCCCCCATGAATATGGAGTCGGCTATTGCTCAACATTTAGTTGAGAATATAGCTTGCGCCAAGTTGTTTAAAAAAGAGTGGTTTAAAATTATTCATACAGCCGATTCCAATAATCATTTGAAGATTTTGGAATCGGTCTGCAGATGATTAAGAAAACCTTCTCTCTGCCGGCAGAAAGAATTTATAAAGTCTCTGAATCTGTTGGGGGATATTTTATTTTAACTGTCCCTCGCTAATTTATTTACACGATTCTTTTCCCTTCCCCTCGTTACAAGTATATATACTTGTTTGTTATTTTAGTGTGTTTCCCCCTCTTTTTTGCTCTTCAATGTCGTTTATATTCTTTTCGCTAATCCAACGATTGTCTCCTGATGAGATGTTGGCTGAAAGGGCCCTAGAGACTTTTAAAATTAAAATCAAAGCATTCCTTGTTTTTAAAACTATATATATATATATATATATATATATATATATATATATATATATATATGAAGAAATATACTTTTAAGGTGTGCTATATTTATGGAATAAAGTACTCAATATCAGAGACAGACCGTATGTAAATATAAATATAAACGTGAACATTAAAGTCAACGCTCAGAAGCGACAGGCTGTTTCATGCTGGACGCAATGGTCAGGCCGCGAATGCTCATTCGCGGCCTGACGAATCGGAGCATTATATCTAGAGCAACAGTTCGAGATTCGCCGTTATTATCAAGAGTTTGGTATACATATTCAGTTATAGCTGTAAGCACATCAGTATAGACCGGGCAAAGCGGAAGCCATATTGTTTGTCAGAGAGCAGATCGTGGAAGTTGAGATGCTTAACTGCTTCGACATTGCTTAAAGCCTCGAAGGCTTTGCCGAAGCTTGGTAAGAGACTTATGGAACGGTGGTGGAATAATTTCGATTGATTCATTGATGCATTTTCTACCACCAATCAAACCTTTTCTGGTTTAATAATTCCTAAGGAATATTGACCCTCTCAAATATTTTTTAATCGAATTCATACGAAGAAAAGCACGAAAGCCACTAAGACAGGGGTTGGATACTGAGGACGAACAAATTAATAAGAAGCGAGAACAATACAAGAGTGATCATGAAGACAGTAGATAATGATTGACATTGCATTTAAATTTTTAAAGATCAAGGTTGGCTAGAAAGTATGGAGTCAAGAGAGTGTTCCACAAGCGAGAAATGCGAGAAAAGAAATTGTTAGCTTAGAACTTACGGTTATAGCTAGCAGATTCAAATTTAAATTTTAGATTGTAAGAACTTTAATAATTGTGGGGTGGAGGGTAATAATTATCTAGTGATACACGTCTTACTAATTAACCCATAGATGGGGAAGAATAGGAAGATGCATATATTTTTTCAACTGAACCCAACTGAAACTGGAACCCTTCTCTTCTTTATTAACTATTAACTATTTCGAGCAAGGCAACTACTTGCCATTACCCCACCCGTACACCCAAGCTTACACCACCTAGTATTCCCATGTAGGTACTGACCAGGTCCGACGTTGCTTAACTTCGATAATCGTACGGGAACCGGTGTTTCAACGTGATGTTAGTAAATAAGACCGGACTAAATCTATCATACGTAAAATCTATGTGTATTCGTCTCCGGAACTGCATTATTAAATATCAGTGTAAGACTGGTTTCGTGGGCTTTCTTCAAACATAGATCTTTTTCTCGAGGAGGTGAGAGAATCTCTACCCTTTTCTATTTTGGAGCGGCACTTATATATATTACATTCGTCTGGTTATCGAGTGATGTACAATCTTAGACCCACTGGGTCAACCAGCATGTTGGGAGCAGCCACTGATATGCTGTCAGTCGCGAATCTTCGCTTGTTAGCTGTCAGATCACAAATAAAGCCTCTGACATTGGCTCCTCTTGTGTTCTGGTGTGACATTGAAAGCAAAGTCTACTTTGTTATCCCTTAGAGTGAGCCAAGTACACATTGGGGTAACTAAAGATTAACCACTCTTAAGATGAAGATTTTTATATTGATATTAAAATAAAATCAGGTCATCTACTATTTTCTGGTGACAGTTACATGCTACAATGTTTTATTTTATTTATTATATGGTGAGCTGATATTTCTGTTTTTCTTCTTACTAATTTGCAATGCAAGGCTCGAAAGCCACTCAAGGGTGAGGTTTAATGAATGAGGTTGTTTTATGAGCGAAAAAAGAGGAGGTAAGACGTGCAGTTTATGGGTATATACTGGACAGATAACGGTTAACCTTACACTTGAGGAGAATTAGATTATAATGATCGAGGAAACATTCTCTAGAGACTATGTCCTATAATTTGAGAAGAAGCTGTTGGAATGGAACTTTCTTCTTACTAATGAAATACAAAGGAGCAGACATGATTTCTCCTATAGATGGCATGTAGAGCCTTAACTGTGAAATTCTGATCTGGTGGTACTAAGGAATGTAGCTCGTCCGAACATTTGTTATGGAAATAGCGATAGAGGTTCACTGCATCTCGTCTGTTGGAAAGAGGGTTGGGGAGTAAAAATGGCTGCGTAGATCTTTCTGCACTCTATCAAGATTGGAAAGTAAGGACTGGGTTGTTCCATCGTAGATATGGCAGCATTAACCCATTTTGGTCTCTTGAATTTCATCGTTTCGTTTGGTGTATATATAAGCATTGCTGAAGAGCAACTTTTTTTTTTAGTCCC